ACCACTGAATTTCAACGTTTTCTGCCTAATTGTTAGTTTCGTTCGCGGTATCCACAGTTCGTTGTTCTCTGAGCTTCTTGTAATTCGTTTTGTCACTGATGACTTTAAGACAAACAAGTCACTTATGTACTTGGGTACCCAGTTGTCTAATGATTTATATACCATTATTGCTGTTCGTAGCATTACTTTTTGATTAATAAGCTTCTGCCATTTGGAGACGTAACGTTGAAATTAAAACCGGTTTTGCTAACAACAATAAAATATTTCGTGAACATGGAACATACCTTGGTATAAACATCACGTTTTCTGTTGTCACTTTGAACAATCTCACAACTAACCACGCGAGTGTGAGCCGATCGTGGTCCGACTGGAGACGGGCTCTGTGACCTATTCCGAGTGTATCGTACATTCTTGCTGATGCGAGATCGAGAATAGGAATCGCCGACAAACTGAACCTTGGTAAGACTATTCAAATCGGAGTCGCTACGAACGAGCAACGGTGACACTAGATGATCATTTTGCCATTTCCGAGGAAGGGTAGAAGGTTGGCCGCGTATATTTTTGGAATCGTCGTTGCGGAAGTCATCCGCTCTTACGAGAGGACTTCTCGGACCTTTTAATGAAGTATTTTGAAATTCCTGGTTTGGTAAAACACGGTTATGTTTTTCAAAATACCTAAAACGTTGATCTAATGTCATTCCACGTGTTGAGGGGATGTCATATCCTCGGGCATAACGTTCAGGGAGAGCAGATTCGGAGAAAGGACGTTGGTACACAACTCTTCGGATGTCGGAGGCGTCTGACGTACTCGTATCGGAGAAACACGCGCTGTTCCGATTGCTCACGGATGGTGACGATGGCAACGACGACGCGGCGTAACACTGGGAAGACGTTACGCTAGAGCTGTCATCCGTCGCCATCGTCAGGCAATCGGAGGACGTCGCACTGACGTAAGGTGAATCGCTGCTCTCTGAATCGTGTTCCATCCTTACACGGGAGTTGTCACTGTTGGTTGAACGAAACGATTCATTTCTCGCCCAGCGTCGTCGTAGACCGGAAGGTCTTCGTTTCAGTATCGACCATGGTTTCGGCCCTCGAAAGGTGCTCGTCTTCACGACTGCTTCTTTGATAATCTGAGCTCGAACATCGTCAAAACCTCGGTCAGCGGACCCAGTAATCACCCTCATCTGAAAGAATCAGTAATTGGGTTTGAGTTTATTAGTACTCATTGGTGGAATGGACCTATTCCCTAATGAACAAAATTTTGATCTAGACAAGTCTAGACAAAAATTCAGTTCATCACAGCTTGAAAGAGCATCACCAAATTAGTAATATTCCGAAGTTTCATTGCGAAATGTTGTAAAATACGGATAATATAGCCCTGCGAAGTTTGCCGTTTTTCAGTCATTTTGTATTACGCACGGGAAATTGATAACTTTTTTCAGAAAGCGATATCATTTCCCGTGCGTAATACAAAATGACTGAATAACAGCAAACTTCGCAGGGCTATAATTATTATCCGCGTTTTACAACATTTCGCAACGAAACTTCGGAATATTACTAATTTTTGTGATGCTCTTTCAAGCTGTGATGAAATTTCCGTCTAGATCAAAATTTTGTTCATTATAGAATGGGTCCATTACATTCACGCGCCAACATTTCTTCATTACGAGAAAAAATAAATAAACTTGCAAATAATAACAAGAAACTGCACGTAACTACCAGGACATGGTTTAGTCAAATTAAAATTTTCATGTTAATTTTGTTCATATGGGCAGCCAAACACAACAAAATTAATTTTTTATTAATGTAACAGCTTTTATAGTCTGGCACATCAAAAACTTATCTACCTCAAATTTTGTTGTTATTGAAATTTTGAAATTAAAACATCCCAAATTTGTTGACAAACATGAAAGTTCATGCAGTGTTTTAACTTTTAACTGTTTATCCTTGGATAGAACAGATGATACTTTTCCGATCACCTAAACGTTTCTACTGACCTCTCTGCCATGTGTCCAATCAACATTCACCATGACAGAGTTACCACCGATGTGATGTGAGCTCCAGCTTCTTCTCAGTCCTGTGCTTGGCCTGGTCTCATTCTGATATATTGTTCGTACGAACGGAGAATGCACGTCACTTTGTGTATTGTGGTAATCTGCCCACACGCTGTCATCTTGCAGATTGGATCTATAAGATAATGCATAGAATTGCAGTACTGCATAGTTTTGCTTATGAGATAGATAACTTGTGGTGCCAATCTCGGGGAAAGAAAAAGTATACTATTTGCTCACATTCTATAATGATATTGAGCACTCTCTAAAATTTCGTGAACCAAAACATGCACGCTCGCAATGCAATACACCTTTCTATAAAGCTGGAAATAACCCTGTACCTTGCATCAGCAGACCGACTTCGCCGTTTTGAAACATCATAACGACCTCCGTTGTCATTAACAAACCCAGCATTTTGAAATAACTCGTCACGTATTTCCTCAAACGATGGCATCATGTCCGTGGCAGGATTTTTCCTTGAAGGTAAATAACCTCCTTTGCCACCATTATTAAACGATTCCGAGCTCTTGGCTCTTTCCAGTTCTTTTTCCCAAATGTCGCCATAATCCCAGCTATAGGGCTTCACCGCTCGGCGACCATTCGTAACGACATCGTCGGCGTCCGTCCCGGAGCTGGTGGAAGATCGGCCGTCAATGATATTAAGTTCTGGAATAGCATCATTATCTTCGGGATGGTTTGCCAGGGATGGGCGTTCGTCTTGATGTTGCAATGTAGTATTAGTGTTATCAATCGTTGGCGATGAAGTTTGGAATTCTTCTCCTTGGTTAAGGAGTGATGGCTTACCGTCTTGGTTTTTCAATGGATGTCTTGAAGTAGGGAAAGCCTCGTGAAGCTCTGGGTGTACACGGTTGGTAGCGAAAGATGTCCTAAGGCTCGAGGTAGGCAACGGAGTTTCCAGTTTCTCTGCATTGGGTAAAGGTGACGGCGGTTCGTTATGGGTGTCCAACAGATCTTCAAAAATAGCATCACTCACTTTAGAATCTGAATGGATACTATGATGTCGTGCGCTAAAGCCCGAGGAAGGCAAAGCACTTTCCAATTCCTCGTATAGACTCGGGGATGACGGTTGTCCACTATAATTACCCAATTCCTCTCTTGCAATCAAATCAGTCATATTGATCTGAGGGAAAGGATCCTCATTTTTTCTTTGGGTTGAGTGAGACGGCTCTTGGTCATGGCGGTCGTTTGAATTTTTCAATGTCAAATCAACTTTGTCCGTGGATGTGTTTGAGTCTTGTGCAGGGAGGGAAGTTTTATGTTCGGCCACATTTGATGCAGACTGTGCAGTGCGCTCAGGCGTAGTCAACTGGGTGGGTTTAGATGGTTGAAATGTATCAGGGGATATTTGTTGGCCAGCTGTAATCAATTGTCCTTCATTTGACTGACTGGCATTCTCCTTTGCTTCCTCTAAGGTGGAAAGTAAGGAGGACAATTGTGCAACTAGTGAGTTGCCCAAAGTTGAATGATTTAACATACTCGGATTTTCTTTTGCTTTTACCATAAATGAAGAGAGCACTGACACCAATTCGACACATTGCTGTCCATGACTTGACCTCTTTGCACATTTTTCTCCCTCTTCCAAAGGTGATTCATTAGAAATTTCACAATTCGTGCAGCCATTTGCTTGTTCAACAAGAGTAGTGCCATTTTGGTCTATTTCTCCCGTACGGCGAAAAGACTCCTCGTTTTCATTACCCGACATATGTCCACAAAATGATAATCTCGAGTTGAAACATAACCGGTACAAATCTCCAGGATTGGTCGTTATATCTGATAGTCGTTTTAGGATGGCATGGAAATCTTTATCATCCGCGCACTCGTCGGCGAGGGAAGGAGATGTCGGAGATGCGTCGGCATGCTCCGTCACAAGTCGGCATTCCTCCGAGCTATGGTCGGTTGTCACAACAGTATTGTTGTCAACCACGACAGATTCCGACGAGGTTGAAGTCGGTGAATGCTGGTTGGCCATCTGGAGGTCGACGTCTTCGAAACATCCTGAGTCGGTCCGATAACCATCCGTGTTCTTCCGTCGGTTGTTCTTCGGGTTACGGCGTACGACGTTGTCTTCCGACATCGTCGCTAGTCAAGTTTCAGTGTTTAAATTTCAAATATCTGGAAGAAATAAGAGATTTATTTAATTAGCTAATAATTCATACATTTAAGGCCTTCTTCAAGTTTCCGGATTTAGCAGTGTTTTCGGTTTAGAATAATTTTACGGATAATGCACTAAACATACTTTCTAAGTTTGTTTGCCGATGGAGAAAAGTATTAAAAATTGAAACAAAATTTAAGCATTACCATTCTACTCACTGATCTTCAGCTATCGTCACATAACATTCAAAATAATCTCCTCCAGGTTCAAGATGCAATGTTAATTTTGAAGCAGTAATATATTAGCTAGAAATTTTCTATAATTCTGCCAAAAGTTCAATAAGTCAGCTTCAATTTTCAATCGCTTCGTTTTCATATTATCTGGTAATCAAACCTGCTCAGCGTTGACCCATGATGCATTGCATCTCCCAATTCGTGCTCTACTATAATGTCCACGCATGGTTTGAAGTAGGGGCCAAGTAGCAAAAAAGTTCAATTGGTGCGCCAGCAATTTTGCCCACGACACGCGAATATGTAACCACGAGACACGAGAGACTGAATCTCAAGCTGGTTTTCAGGAATTGGTCATGCAATACCATCCTATTGACAATTAAATATTTAATTACATGTCGTTTGCGAGTTTTTGGTTAATTGCTTCCACACAACGAGATGTCTGCGAATTCGCGTGTATATACGATAACGGACAGGCCATCAACACAAATTACATTGCATGGTAGGGCTTAGGTTAAAATTTGAATTTAGCTCTGTGCAATTTGCAATGTCTAATTCTTTCAATATATGGTGTATGAAAGCCAGATATATAGCGATTTTCAACGAATAGTTCTTCACGCGCTCGTAAAATTCCTGAAAGCTGTAAAACTAAGAGTATAGACCCAGCAGAAAAGCTTCAAGTAAACAAAAAACAAAAAGTGAAAAATAAATTTACTTCTTGTTTTCGTTCATATCTTGGGTATATATAAGATGTTGTACTTTTAATTAAAATTGCCAGCTGTTCAGCAATTTAAATGTTAAAGCTCTACCTTATCCTAAATACTGGAATATGCGGCACCAATCTGGGCTGGTTTACCATATTACCTATAAAGGAGGATATCGAAAGAGTACAAAATCGCTGTCTAGATATCATAATATCATTGGCTTACCGAGAAAAAAAATTGAGTCGCTTGCGTCAAGAAGAAGCTATTTAACAAGTAAAGAATATGATAATATACTAAATTCAGAAAATCACCCATGTAAAAGATTGATTTGTAGAACTAACGCACATGAATATATAATTTAAGGACAGGTTGTAACCCACTTTTGGCACCAATCTCATTCATATACCGAGAGCTGCCTGGTTGAACTATTTTAATGAACATAGTTAACTAAAATAGTCTTACTTGTATATATATATATAGATAATAGCTATATCTCTCATTCCAGTAAAATGTACAATTACAGTCGATAAAGTTTTATATATCTTAAATACTGTTGTAAATTTTTAATACTTTTTAAATTTGTAATACCGCTGTAATTCTTTTGCCAAAGGTGGTAAATAAAATCTATTATTATTATTATTATTATTATTATTATTATTATTATTATTATTTTACTGTCCAAAATTCATACAATGCTAATTAGAATTGCTCTGGAATTACATATAGGCTAGTATATGAGAACAAAATATTTGGTATAAGTAAAAATATGATGTAATCAGATGAAAATCAAATCAAATTGAAAACCTACTGCTCTAAATGCCGTTCTTTCAACTTAAGCAGTTGCTCATAATCTAAACTATTAATTTTTATATAGTTATGTAAATAGTGTTCTGTAAATAGGTGAAAATCAAATAAAATTGAAAACCTACTGCTCTAAATGCCGTTCTTTCAACTTAAGGTGGCTCCCTACAGTTAGTACAGTTTAAATACGATTTATATAGATCAGACTTCATCCTCGCGACCTGCGCGTGGAATCGTGTTTACTGTTCTGCAAAAATATTGAAACCAGCTGTGGGAAGTTTTTTGGCGTTTTTTATC